GTTTTAGAGGTCCATCCCCTATCTTCCCTTAAACCGCGGAGTACATCCCCTATCTCCTCCAAATACCTATCCGGTTTAGAGGTCCATCCCCTATCTTCCCCTAAACCGCGGAGTACATCCCCTATCTCCTAAACCCTGACTCGTTTGCCTAAGGCCACGTGTCCGTCATCACCAAAGTTGCCTCGGCTCGGGAACTTGGGTACGATTGGGGAAGGTCACTTCGTGAGCACCCCCACTCGCCCGATCAAAGATCGGCCTCTACTAACCATGATATCTAGTTTTGAAAACATTATGCGTTCTTATTCCGGTTATTAGCCTAGATTGACTATGTGATGCGCACAGCTTGTAATCTTTCTGTAATCTCCTCATTGGTATAGTGATAACCGGTTACTCTCCCGTGGACGTAGGCATTGGGCCGAACCACGTAAAATATTGTGTCTCCTTGTGTGTGGGTGTGTTTTTCTGCTTGCAATGATTTCTATAAGGTCTTGGGCGGGATCCCAGATCCCAACACTATACTCTAAAAAAGTACTGGCTGATTTATACAAGTTAATTCCATTTATGGTGTGTTCTTTAGGGAATATGACATCAATGAACATGAGGCTTCAGCACTTGCACCTCCTAATCAACACTCTTTATCAGAGAATCAGCTAACACATATTTAAATAATGTTGTGTCTTTGACTTTCTAAATTTTTGTATGTTCTGCGCACAAGACTGAATTTATGTTGCTATCAATTTCATTTGATTATGTTTCATGAGAGATGGCGTTGATTTATTTTATTGCGTCAATTTCCATGCAAATTCTTGAAAGGAAGGAAGTTTGGTACTAAGAAAACAAAGCACATGTGGGCTGAAATGCTTCAATGGAGGAAAGACTCTGGTGCTGGCACTATCATGGAGGTAATTTCATCTGATGATTTTCCTCCTGCTTTAGTCTCAAATTCCTGCCATGGCTTTGTAGTGCCAGTTTTTGATAGATTGACTTGTTCTTTCTCTCTTTTGGTAAGGTTTTTAACACAATTAAATAAATGGGTTAGTGCCTTTCTCAGCCCATCCACAAGCAAGTAGGTTGTAGAGACTCTTACGGTTGAGGTTGAACACGTCATTTACTAGAAAACTTTCCTAATGATGAGCATATATATTTTGTCTTACTCAATTATCTAGAATAGCAATAACTATCATTAGTGTAGAAATTGTTCACTTATGGTACTACAAACTAACTATTGCCAATTTCTTGAAGCGTCTTTAGTTACAATTTGTATTTATAAAAATGAAATAAAATGGAAATAAATGGTAGGGTCGGGTTGATTTGATTTCAAGGAAATTTGAAGGGTTGGGTTAGGGATGAGCTTAACTGCCCTTCATATACAGGTTGGAGCCAAGTTAAGCTTTTTTTCTTCTTTTCTTTTTTCTTTTGATCTGCAAAAGAAGAAGCTTTATTGATAAAAAAATGATTACAACAATAAAGAAAAGAAAGTAAGAGAATGGGTGCAAAAGCATCAAAGGATCCCAACTAGGTTGGCACCCAAGAGCACACCCAATCATATGCTAGCACCCCAGGAAGTTGATGAGAAACCAACCTCCACAAAAATACAACCAAAAAACGACTAAAACTCCAAAAAAACCCTGCAACCTGATCAAAGGCCCCAGCAACGGTGACAGAGCAACAGAGCCAAAGTAGATCAACAACCAGAAGAAGAATAGATCAGTAACAGAGCCAAAATAGATTAGCATAAAAGATACACAACAGAAAACGAGAACAATCAAACAACTGCCAGATTAGAGTTGCCGCAGCAATTCACCTCAGAAACCAGAACAATCAAAAACCCAAAACAAAACAAACTAGCGGCAGAGCCAAAGCAACCAAATCCGAAGCATAGCAAACTAGCAGCACAGAACCCATCATAGCCCCAACAACCAAAACAAACAGAGTTAACAGCAGCCAGCTATAGCATAGAAACAGCATACATAACATCCAACCAAGCATGAACAAGCACCAAACACCTCCAACCCTTAAAGGTGTTGACTCACCCATTTTATATTTGAGACAATCTCTTGAATGGAGTAGAAACATCCCATATCATAAGACTTCAACCACATGGCCACTCACTTGTGTTAGTATTGATGCTTAACCTAACTTGTCTTGTATTTGGGTCCTTGGTTTAGTGAAACTTGGTTATTGACAAAGTTGAATTGTTTCTTCTCATTATGTATCCTAAACATTACTAAATGATGCATGCTGACTTTTTTATTTCTTATACATCTTGATGTTTTGCTAGGATTTTGAGTTCAAAGTGTTGAATGAAGTTGTACAACACTACCCACAGGGTTATCATGGTGTTGATAAGAAGGGAAGGCCCATATACATTGAAAAACTTGGAAAAGATGATCCATACAAGCTTATGGAAGTGACAAATTTGGATCAGTTTGTGAGATACCATGTGCAAGAATTTGAGAAAACTCTTACTATCAAGTTTCATGCCTGCTCTATTGCTGCAAAAAGACACATTGATTCAAGTACAACAATTTTAGACGTTCATGGCGTGGTATACTTTTATTTATTTTACTTACTCATCTAGATATCATTATAAAAGCAAATATTGCAGAGCTTGGCTTCATAGGAATATATCACATTCTATTCTTGCTCTTTCATACTCTTTGTTGTTCAGGGTTTTAAGCACAGGCCCATATACATTGAAAAACTTGGAAAAGCTGATCCATTCAAGCTTATGGAAGTGACAAATTTGGATCAGTTTGTGAGATACCATGTGCAAGAATTTGAGAAAACTCTTACTATCAAGTTTCATGCCTGCTCTATTGCTGCAAAAAGACACATTGATTCAAGTACAACAATTTTAGACATTCATGGCGTGGTATACTTTTATTTATTTTACTTACTCATCTAGATATCATTATAAAGCAAATATTGCAAAGCTTGGCTTCATAGGAATATATCACATTCTATTCTTGCTCTTTCATACTCTTTGTTGTTCAGGGTTTTAAGCAGCTAACTAAACCTGTATGAGAAGTCATTATGCTGCTGCAGAATATTGATAATGACAACTATCCTGAGATATGATTTAGAAATTTGTTGTGCTTAGAATCGTCTCACCAAGATACACACTTGCCATCTTTACGCTGTTGTTCATTTGAATTTTGAATTGTATATATCCCCCTGAAAGATGGATCACTTTTGGAATTATAGTTTTGCAGACACTTGGTCGTATGTTTATTATAAATGTTGGTTCTGGCTTTAGGCTGCTCTGGAACCCAGTGAAGGGTTTCCTTTATCCCAAAACAGCTACGAAGATTCATGTATGTTAAGAGTTGACTTTTATCTATTGAAAGTGTACACATCATAACAGAATCATATGTTGGATCAATTATTTTTCATTTTTTCTCAGGTTCTTAGCAGGAAATTCCAAAGTAAATTGCTTGAGATTATTGATGATAGGTAAATAATTAGAATTTTCAGGGTTTAAATATGCTATTTTTTCCTTATGCAGAAGTCTAACCATTTGTAACTCTTGGGTATAATTGTGATTGTTCAGTGAGTTTCCAGAATTTCTTGGTGGTAGCTGTACATGTGCAGATAAGGAAAGTTGTATGAGGTCTGAGAAAAGGCCATGGAAAGACCCGGATATATTTTTTTGTTGGTCTCAGTAAATCCCCTCTTTTTCTTTTTTTTTTCTTTTTTTTTTCCCCTCTTTTTTTTTTTTTTTTCTTTTTTTTTTTTTTTTTTTTTTTGCCTCGGATGGTATCGCAGAATCATGATTGGTGGTGGAGGACCACAATAAGATGATTGCAACTAGGCATGCTCGATTAGCAAATTGCATGCAATAGATTCTAAAAATAAATTTCATACATTATTTAATTTACTGTTGACAGGAATTACCAAAAGTTGGCCATCCATGAGTAGATCCATATGTTTGGTTCATAAAATAAAGTAAGGAGGCTTTTTTTTGACAAATTTACTTTAGAAGAGACCAAAGGCAACATGGCAAGTGACACTATTTATTTTGCGTCAGTCTTTTGGGAGAAAATAAGATGAAAACAAGAGAACAATTTCAAAACAAAAAAAAACTATAACGGCATTTTACAAACGCCACTACAGTGCCAACGGTCATATTTTTAAAATAGGAAAAAATCTATCATGGTGTTTTTAAAACGTCGCTAAATATTGGATGATGTCATTTGGAGTGGATTCCTCATTTTTCCATCCCTTGATCCATCAGTTGATGATACCTATCCCTTGATCACTTAGTTCGGCATTGATAAATCACCCTGCACACGACTGAATCTTTCTACTAAACTGAATTTATTGCTGGATGCTTTTAAGATGACTTCTTGTTGCACTTGGTCCACTAAATCTCCAGATTGGCAAATTGCTACACAAGAGGAATTCAATGTTCTCATTAGGAGTGGTATGGGGGTCCTTTTTCCCCCCTTTTGAGCTACGAATGTTGTTTGTTGTAAGCATGTATTCAAGAGCGGAAACCCAACAGTTCAATTGGTCATTATAAAGCTCAATTGGTAGTTAAAGGCTTCGTGTTGATTATGTTGAGACATTTAGACCTATTATCAAGCCAATTGCAATCAATCTCTATCTTTTGGGTATTCAAAAAACTACAATACTGTAGCGTGTTTTTGGCAGTCATCAAAATGAAGTCTATATGTTGATTTTGGAGTTTTTTTTTTTTTTTGGTATTGAACATTTGGAATTATGTTGGTTTTAGTTTTAAATTCTAATTTAATTTCTCACCATGCTTTTGAAAGTTATCATGTGCTTGAATAATTTGTCTTTTGTTGTGCCTTGTTATTTACTTTAGGATCTTATTGTTTTATGTTAAATTGTTTCCATGAAAAGTGTTGGATGGTTATAGAGAAGGCAGGATTGGCACTGTTAATGAATTGTTTTAAAGTTGTAAAAGGGGTTAACTTGAGCCCACTAAGTTAATTGGGCCCAATCGGGAAGCCCAAAAATTGGTGAGCTTGGAGAAATTATTGCCAAATGGGCCCAAGTGAATTTTATTGAACGGGCCCATAAGAAAGCCAACAAATTGGGCTAAGGAAGACCCATCAATCATATATCTCTAAAGAGAGCCCATCAGGCCCATACGAGGATGCTCAGATCATATAGGCATCCAAGGAGGTTAACCGTTGCTTTCAGAAGAGGTAAAACCCTTGGTGGAGATCCATTCTTCGAGGTATTGGCCTAGTCTTGAAAAGGTTCGGAACCATGAACCTAGAGACCTATTTGAGCTTGGACTTGAAAGGGTTCGGATCCACGAACCTAGAGATCTGAAGCACTTGGCTTTGAACGGATTCAGACGTAATCTAGAAGTTACTCCGTTAATGAGTCCTAGAACACTTGCGAGCTCAGAGCTTTCCAGGATCTACGCACCAAAACCACGGGCGTGACGGAGTTCAAACAAAGGACCTAATCCCAAGGACAGTGAGTGAAGATAAATTCACTCTTCGGTTAAACTAGCCTATACTCGAGTCGAGGTGGCACGATCTAGGAGGTCCCTAAGACTCGGCAATATTTGCGACAGGGTGTTCTCTTGAACTAGCCCTGACCTTTCTGTGGCAGGACGTCCTCCAGGACTACTCCTGACCCTTTGGGATGATTGGGGATCATTGGTTAGGTGTGGCTAAGAAGAAGGGTTCGCCTAGAGGTTGATCTCCTCTTCGGGGTTTTCCTTATCCTCTGAAAGGTCACCGCCTCAGACAAGGTAGTTAGAGGGAATATTCTCCATGTCCCTTGCACATGGGCTCTATCCTACATCATGAGGTGTCTATAAATAGCACCCACCCATAGCTTTACAATGGATGGATTTTGGAGAAACAACTCTTGGGAAAGAACTAATTTCCCTTCTCCATTATCTACCTTCAGAGTGAAAGTGAGAGATCCATAGGAGAGCCTTGCTATTATTCTCTCTCTAACTATTTTGCCTTCTTCTTCACCCAATCTCTTATCTCCGTCATCTCTTTGCTATTGTATTTCTAGTTGTGACTGTTGAAGAATCTAAGCCTCTCATTTCTAGAGAATTCAAGTTTTCTTCAAAGATCTTTGAATATCTTTGAATTTTCCAACAACATTCTTGAATCCTCTCACACAAAAGTTAAATTGTCCATGAAACTCTATTGTAATCTCATAAGATGAGTTCGTTAATTAATAAATTATCTTGTGTTTGTATTCATATGTAATAGTGTTAGGTCCCTTGATTGTCAAATCCGGATTCAAAACCTTGAGTTGTTAAAATTATTTATTTTCTGTGTTTTTGTTCTTCCCGCTCGAGCAGGGACATTGACGCTCGAGCGGAGTTTGTGGTCTCTCAGTATATTGACAGGTCTGTAAAAGTACTGGAGTGCGTAATTTTGCGCTCGAGCGGGTCATGAAGCACTCGAGCAGATCACTGTGTTATCACACGAGTATTTTGTTGAAGCCGCTCGAGCGGGATGTTGGGCGCTCGAGCGGAGATCGCGGATTCAGGATTCCTATTTATATTTGTTAGGTTGTTTTTAGGACTACTTTTTTCCTAGATCTTATTCAAGAGTCCTAGGGCTTTGTTTGAAGTTTTCTTCTGAAGTTTTGATGAGTTTTTCCTTGATGTTTTGAGAAGAGTTCTTCACTCATGTTCTAAAATACATACATCAAGGAGTTGGTTACTTTAAATTCAAGAGAGAGTTCTCTTCGGTGGATTCCGAAGATTCAAGCGTATAGTTTCGAAAGGCGTTTGATTCTATACGTAAGTGAGGTTGTGGAATCAACTTCAGGATTGATCAGTTCCGAGACGAAGTCGTGGAGAAAGAGTTACAGAAGATTCGAAGACAAATTGACTGAGTTGGGTAATTTGTATGATATCTTTGTAATCTTTTTTACTTCAGTAGTGGATTGATTAATGGCGTTTCGCCCGTGGTTTTTTAATCACAGTTGGAGGTGTCCAATTGTGGTTTTTTCCACGTAAAAATCATTTGTGTCAATTTATTGTTTATTCAGAAAAACAACAATCTAAATCACTTTTGTAAGTGCTTGATGATTTAGATTGCGTGTTTTGAATAATTGGGATTTGGAATATGT